ATGGTTGGGTCAGCAGTAATGGGTGGTCAAGCTTTTGCACAAGCTCCTGGGAGATCACAACAAAGTGGTGGTGGTGGTGGCCAGCCTAGCATGCAAGGAGGAGCTGGCTTCATGGGATAAAAGTTAATATATCTCTTCTTCAGTTTTCTACTTTTTGCTAATTAGTTTCATCATATAACATAAATTATTTCTTTCTTCTTTAGTCAACTCGATCAAGACAATGGTTTAGACTGCTTTTGTTCCTGTCTTTTGTCTCACTGTTCGCTTTCTGCCTGAAAATGGCATCCTATTGTGGGTTCTGACCATGGCACCAAACTGTTTAGTTTTTTTTCTTTTCTTAGAGAGAGATATATAAAAATGTGGTTTGTCTCCTATGCGTTTGGTCTGATTGACAATTTTTTGTTTTGATTGGACTTTGTGTTTCTTTGCAGGTATGAGTATATCATTCAATAATTCTCTCTGTTTTTTTCTTTACTCAAAATATACCCATATATCATAAAGAAACATTATACTAACATAAGAGTTTCTCATGATCAACCAATGGACAGAACTACATTGGGGTACTACAATCTAGAACAACATAGGAATTCCTAGCGGCTTGTTTTGCGATTCAATCTCTTCCGGTGAATCTAAATGTCGCTTTGAAGTTGATCCTCCCTGGCTCCAAGATCTCACTTGATTTATTGGTGAGAAAAACCAGAAGCATCAGCCAAAGTGGTGATACCGGCAATATCATAGTACGGCCTGTTGATGTCTACATCCGTGGCTTATCTTGAACAAGACAAGTTCATGCACTCTATGATATTGTATGGCTTTGAGACATGCATAGATAACTACGAAAGTATGGTTATAACTAAAGTACAACACCACTACTATCTGATGTGCGACCCGCCGTAGTGGTGCTTACGATGCAATAATTACCTCACATGAGTACCGGATTCACAAAACTTCACCATATCGTTGGTTGTATTGACAATTTGGTCTTCGAGAGATTTAATGCAACTAAACTTGATTCAAGTTTTCGGGTATAGCTTTATACCCTGAATGGACAATGACGTTTTAGGGTATAAAGCTACTGAATTATGTCAGTCAGGGTATCCCATAAAAAAAATTACTTAAATCGAAACATCGAAATCTATACTGAAAGCATGTCCTTTTAATGGTAATACCAAGATAATTGTATCCCTTGCATTTTATATTACCATGGTGTTAGGTATTTGTAATGCACCACATGGGGATATTATCGAGACCTCCTTCTTGTCCTAAACTGCTGGTTTGCAAATATAACCAATCTATATTATTTACCATAAGATGTGATGTAGTTTTTCTATAAAAAAAAAAGAAGAAAGATGTGATGTAGTATAAGCCGTATAATTAATCCTTGTGGTTCCAAACTGCTGAGCATCAGAGGATGTACTTGGGTATCTGGTTCCTTGTGATTATTAATGCCCCCATAGTACCGCCAAACTTGACAATGCATAACACTATGGTATCGGGTGTTATTGCATAACATTATTGTTGACTACAAAAACCACAAGTATCGGGTGTAAATCCTTAATGGTGGATGTGATCATGATATTAAGGAGCTACATTACACAAAATATGATTCTAGACCAACATTACTTTACTAGTAACATTCTATAGGATCTTTGTAAACACTGGATATGTATTAGTAACAGGTCTTACCTCATGTAGTAAGTGATCATGGAGTGCTAACCTCATTTCCTACTCCAGTGTCAATAAAGATTTAAAGTTTATCGAATTATTGTACCATCGCTCAAATTATAGCTTGGTTCAAAAGTGTGAATTAAACTCAATATGTCATGAATCCAAGTTCTATACAAAAGGTACGAGAGATGCATATAAGTATAACAGAGTTTAAAAATCATTTACGAGCACCTTTATAGATTAGAGAGAAACTGACCGATTACACCAAACAACCCTCATGTGGTCTAACTTATAATAGTTCAAATGATTGTTGGACTGGGTTTGCTACAAAGATCAACTCGATGTCTCAGTTAAAATATTAAGTTTATCCACGTTTTATCATAGTATCTTCGGTCTTTGGACTTGCAATGATTCGTAATCATTAAGCTACCTCTAAAGGCTTGCACATAGATAATACATAAAATTCCCTGGTAAAATAGGTAAAATATAGAGCATATCAACTGCGGGAAAGATCAAAGTAAAGAAGAAATAAAAAAGACAACTTTCATCGTCTTCATTTCCTTTCTTGAGTTTTAAGGTTCTTCTACTGCTGCTAGCTAAACTCGAGAGCATTTAACAAAACAGACGAACATGGATTTGGAATTTGGAATCGAAGATTAAT